GCGCCCCCTCTGCGGACATTTTACATATATTCTGGTCATGCCCCTTGCTCACCACGTTTTGGGACCAAGTCCGAACCATCACCCAAAAGTTCACTGACCTCCCGGTCCCTCGAGACCTGGCCTTCTTCCTCCTACATCATAATAACATACCGACCAAGACGTACAAACGATCTGTCGTGCGCCACCTAGTTAATGCTGCCCGAGCTTGCATTCCGGCTCGCTGGAAAGACCCCACTCCGCCCAATATAATCCAATGGTTAGACAGGATAAATGACATATACCTCATGGAAGACCTCACCAGCTCGCTCCATAATACACCCGACCAGTTTGGTAAGTCCTGGTTTTACTGGATTGAATTTCTTCACTCTCCAGAGTATGATGCCCTACGCCTGGACTCTGGGTCATGACCCACCAATCCAACCAGCGCCCTGGATTCCCTCCCCCCCCATTCCCCTCCTGACCCCACAACCCCTCTTTCCTCCCCATCTACCCTCCCCCCCTTTTCCCCCACTGTCATACTCTCCTACAGACCGCTGTGGTAATGCCACGACCTGACCCACCTGTGTGCCTCGGCTCCCCCGCTCCTGACCGGGTAATCACCCTAGACTCTTTCATGCACCGAGACCCGACAGCGGGGGCCCCGAATCATCGCCCCCATGTCATCATCAGGTTCTAGGCCGCGACACTTGCCTTTCTATTGCTACGTATTTGTTTCACCCTTTAACTTTTCCCTTTCTGTCCATGATTGATGTCTATATTGAGCTAGTAATGACATGTATGTTCTGCATATTTGGACACCCCTTTGAAAAACCCGTTTGTATACGGGGAAAAAATGCTTTCTTCAATAAATAAAGAATTTACAAAAAAAAATAAGAGAAAGCGATGCCAAAGACCAGGGGACATTTGATTTGTGTTTTTAAAGGACGCTGGTCCTAAACTAAACAGCGAGGCTGCCCATTTGCTAAATTTCTCATTCTAAAAATGCTAGTTGTCTTGCTGTCATGATGATCTCATGGCTCCAATTATTTTTGAGTCGCTGATCTGGATTGAACGTGCAGATCTGCTTGCATGTTGCACGTCAATGACTCAAAATGTGTTAAAATCCAAGAATCAGCATTTCTGCCAGACTAATAGTATCTTCAGAATGAGGTCAGCAATAGCAACAGTTTCAAGCTCATTCAGAAGACAACATCAGAGATTATGGGGCTTGAGCAAAGCATGTGAAATGTAGAAGATATTTTAGACACACTCGGCAGGTAGGCTGTGTACTCTGAGCAAGATTTAAAGGTTGTTCTTCCTGTCTGACCAGTGTTGTCTCTTTTTTATGGGTTTGGAGGAGTCAGACGTTGATCCCAGATGATTAAAGTTAGCAGACTGTTTATGGATCCGCTCCTAAGCATTGAACCATCACTTTGTAAATACTATCAAATATTTATCTGTTTGTCTTTTTCTTCCATAGGCAGATGTGCTGCTTCTGTCCACCTCCGAGCCAAACAGCTTGTGCTATGTAGAGACAGCAGAACTGGATGGGTATGACTATTTTATCTGAGCCATCCAATGTAATGTATCCATAGGAAGATGCAGTATGAGAATAGTTTGTCTACCTGGGATGTATCTGTCTCCTTGTGCTGCCCCCAGCTCTGTCAGATATCATTTCTATAATATCCCAATGATAAAAGGAACCTTTTGAGATTTAAATATGGAAGCCACCACTGCTGAATTGTTTTCATAGGTGTAGCTCCTAACGTGTTGTATACATGCTTGTTCCATATCAATGACTTACAAAGTGGTTAAGGAGGGATATGGATGACCGTTTTGGAACTTGCCTCTTTGACGGAATGTCAATAATGGCAGCTACCATATTTCCGGGCTCCATGAAAGTGCAATATTTCAAAACTGCATAACTGAAGTGTAGCCACCTGAAGTTGGTAGTATATCCTGGTGCACACCTTGCCGAGAACTTCAGGGAACCTTTCAGGTGCCCTATTGTGGACATACAGCTTAAGGAACTGAAGCTTATCTCATTGGTCAGTGAGGTGCTGATGCTAGCAACGGACGAATGAGGAGACAAAATGGGGGAGATTGCGTTACTTTTTTGGCATTTTGGAATCTATGCTATGAAGCTATGCTTCTTATAGACAGGCAGAGATTGACAGGTGGTAGGACTTCTGCTTATTCTCGAATCCACCAAGACCCGTAACACACTTGGTTGATGAAAAACACATATGTGGTTAAACGTTTCCTTCCTTTTCTCAATGAGAGAAGGAATGTTCTTATTACGCATAGACCATCAGACTGATCCCTGTATGCAGCTATAAATGCTTATGACAGTTCAAGGCGCATAGTATTAATCAATACCGGGCCATAGGTGGCATGGCTCTCACCCAGTCTTCTCTTCTGGCCATCAGATAGCACCCAGTTAGCCTGACTTTGGCCACCCTTAGTATATTGCCCATGTGCATCAGCCCTGAGACTGTTTTCATACACCTTTTTGTATTTTGTTAATTTATTTTTGTCTAACTATCCACTGTTGATCATAGTGTAAAATAAGACAATTTTGATGTGTTCTAGAGAAACAAATCTGAAGTTCAGAATGTCTCCTGAAGTGACTGACAAGCTGCTGCAGGAGGAGAAATCGCTGGCTGATTTTGATGGTAAGTCTTCTGGGACTAGACAAGTCCATAGTAAAGGGCAAACTGCAGTAGCCTATTGCAGCGAATAGGAATGGAGATCTTTTGGGGGTCAGTAATGTGAAATATGGCTGACTGCCTAAGATTATTTCACTTTACACTTTGCTTGCTCTGTTTATGAGTGAATGTGTTTCTTAAAGAGTACTGGAGGGGGAGGCAAGGAAGCTTATTGTCAAAAACTTAAAATAAATCTTTATTTCTATATTGAATTTCCATTAGTTCTATCCCACTCCTAGTTTCAATAAGTAAGTTTGTAAAATTACTATTGAAGATGCCCATAGGATGGAGTTCATCAATACACTTGCACAATTTCACTCAGCTCTGTGAATAGGCAACTTTCTTGTGTCCGCCACTCTAACTAAGCGTGCCATCTGAACTATAATGCAATGTCTAAATTTCCCACAATGTAACATCATCATTGCTTACTGGAAGCAATGCATGATGGGATATGTAGCCGTGAGAACTTAATGCATCACATCAAGCAGCAGGGAAAGAGACACAAAGCACACTGGGAATCCAGGAAGTTGTTGGAAGTGATGGGCAGACGTAAGGCAGCACTCACTACATAAATGGGATTTTTTCATGTAAGCTTTGATTGTATTATCAAACACAACTCTAGTATGTATTCCTATTACAGTGCTCATGTTATAACAGGAGATTATATGCTGGGACTTCAGAACTCCTCTAAGGCATTTACAAGCAAAAATTAGTCACAAATCACAATAGAAAGGTTGGGGGGGGGGGGGGGGGATATAAA